TCGTAGCGCCATCTGTTGGACATAAAAGCCTTAACCTAGATTATATCTTTTAATTTATATGAATGTTTAACAGAATAATATACAGCCTATGTCCACCCTGAAGTTCCATTCTAAATATTGGTGAAAGAATTTTTGAAATCGGATGAGTAGTTTCGGAGATTACCTGCTGCATACAAACTTACATACAAACATTACCTCTTTATAATATTAGTATAGATATTTTATACACATTAGTTTTAATTATTGTAAAATCTCTTTGCTTTGTAAATTTAATTATATATTAAATTTAAGAAATTTTTGTGATAAGACCTAACATAAATAACCGGTTTAAGTTAGTAGAAATGTTTAATGAAATTAAGGACAAAAAGAAAAGAAAAAAAAAAATGCTGTATATACATTATATTTATTTACATATTTTCAGTGTTTTTTTTTTTTAAACTTCAATGCTCATATAGAGAGAAAGCATTTCTTTTCAAAAGGGAATTTCCCCAAATTCTTTTCTAACAATATTAAAATATTTAACATCTATGTTCAACCTTTTTTTTTTCTTATTTTATAGAGATAAATAAATTATGTGATGTATATATTTAATCCTGGGATTTGTCAATCATAAATTATAAAATATATATCAGAAGAAAAATTACTTAGAATATCTTAATTTATCTTATTGTTAAAAGAATAAATTTAAATCTCACAGCTAAACATATTTTTTTTTTCTTCTGAATCTTGAGTTTCTTGTGGATAAATTTGTTTTAAATACCAAAATTTACATTTTGGGTGTTTATTGATTCACAAACTTAACTGATTAAATAAACCAATTTTAACAAATAAAAAAAAAAATCAAATAAAATTAATAAAATGTGTAACTAACCAATGCAAATTTATTGACTTGAATATAAAGCACCTCAACTTCATCATTGGTTATTTCTCTTCTGTCTTTGTATTTTAGTGCATATGATGCTTCTAAATATTTTTGTAACCACTGAATTTGAAAGCTACGATCTGGATAGTTTTCAGGCACAAAAGTATCTACTCCTATAAAAATAAAAATAAAATTTAATAACTATAAAAAAGCAGTTTTTAAAATATAATGTAAATAAAATTTGATTATATATTCTAGCTAAATGCTATCATCTCTTCTATATCTGTTCTTTAAAAAAAGACCAAGACCATTAAATCATCTTTTATGTTATGCATTTCAAATGGAAAGACACATCACTCTTCCAAGCTTTATAATATATCAAAAATTATAATTCATCTTTTAGCCAGACTATATAAAAAAGATTATACATTCATTCCATAGTAATTAATTCTTTTTTGAAAATTTGATTACAAAAAAATTATAACAACTTAATTGCTAGATTAATATCTTATATACTGATATAATTGGACAGCTATGATGTATTACATACTAATTATATAACTTACAATAATGATACTTTTTTATTGATATTGCAACTATGGTAACGCTTGTACTATTAAAAATAAAATTTTTATAAAGCTTCAAAATTTTTTTCATTTTTACTAAAATTAAAAAATACCATTTATCCTATTTTTTTACTTTTAATCAAGCATATCATGTGTTTTGCCAGGCCCACAATGGAGCAGTCATGTGGTACAGGAAAATCCAACATATCTAGGACAGACCCCAAAAATTTTGAGGTTTTTCAACCCATCTGGATTCATTCCCAGGTCCCAAAGATGAGGCTGATACCTCAACTTCTCTGCCATCAATCAAGATTCAATACAGCTACTAAGTACAGTTATCATTGACAGACTAATATACAGAAACAGGAATATGCTTAAGGAATTAATTTTCTTTATTATCTATTTTATCCATATTTTAATGTGCATATTTACAAAAGCAGGTTAGTTCAATTGATGATTGTCACAAAATTTTTTAAAAATATATAAAATTGTAAAATTCTTGCTGCCTGTAGATTGCAGAGACTACTAAATGGTAAGTTATACTGAAATGTATGGTTGCAATGGTTGTAACTCATATTTACACTAAAAAAAGTGTTCTTCATTGTGTTCAAAATCAGTTAAAATACAATGAATATTTTCCAGCATCCAAAGACAAGGAAGTATAATTATCATTTTTTGCTGTAAAATTTTACTAATTTTGTTACTCAAGAATGAATTTTATCAATAACTTTATTGTTGTTTCTCATACAATAAATTATTCAATAATTTGATATTTTCATTCAAATTCCAATCTTTCTTTTTAAATTTTTTGAAATTTAAGAGATTCACTGGAAGTTCAATGATATCCTTAAAAAATAGGAAATCTTTTAAAGATAGTCATCTAAAACAGATTATACCTAAAGTATATGAATATTAAACATCTGCAATCAGGTTCCAGCTCTAAAATTTAATGATTTTAAAGTTAAAATTCTGATTTTAAGATGTCCTGAAAACATTTCTAAAAGAGATCTTCAATAGGACTTATGTTCCTCTTTAATGAATTAAGTATTTCAAGAACATAAACAGTATGCAAAGGAACTCTTCCAGGACTTCTTGAAACTTTTACTTCCTGAAAAATTTCTGATATAAAAAATGCAAGATGTAAGCAGAAAGCACCAAATATAATAAAAAGTTTAATGCAGAAAACTATTGTTTAAACTAATATTAACTGACCTATTAGTACAATAAGTAATTTAACATAACCAATTTCCAAGTTTTACTATATTAATTTTGTGACATAAAATATACATAATATTTTATTTTCACTCACAGTATCATAAAATAAGTTCTTTAAGACTAACATTAAAAACAATGTATATAAATATATATTATCATGAATCAAATAGAATTATTAATTTCTTACCAGCAAATTCACAAAAATGATTTCCTATATCAAATGCTTGGTAGTTATAGTCAGCATATTCATAGTCCACAAATGCCACTGTTCCTATTATAAACAACAAAACATATTTTTTTAAATATTACTATTTCTGTTAGAAAAAATCTTGAGAAGTTAAATAATATAATTTTAGAGATATCAAATCAAGTTTATCAAAAGCGTTTAAAAAACAATTTGCAAAAATAAAATTGTTGCAAAAGAAATGCAATATTCCATAAATGTTAAACATTATAAAAATTTTATTTAGTAGAAATATATGTCATCGTTATTTCATCATTAAATAAATCATTAATCAATAAATAAAATTAGTACTTACCTTTTTCCTTATTAAAAATTATATTTTTTAATAATAAGTCATTATGACAGAAAACAACAGGAGATCCTAACTGACTTAAATGAATTTCAAGTTTGTTTATTTCTGTTTTAAGAACCTCTTTGCTTGGTAGATAAACTTTTAATCTAAATTAAAATATTTGATTACTTAATTATAGAATAAAATTAAAATGAAATTAACCTTCACTAACATTATTGTATTATAAATTAGTTCTCAAATTGAGTTTTAAAAATTACATAAATTCAATGATAAAATTTATAATTGAAATAATTTCAAAATATAAATTAATTACATATCTAAGATATCAACTGTTTAAAAGTATAATTTCTTTATTCTTATTTTGGAACTTTTAATGATTTACAACTAATTTTCACATCTATAGATTAATGGTTTTTCTTTGTATCAAGTTAATTATTGGTTTATCATTAAATATATTTATAATTTAATATGTACATTTATACAATATGAAATATTTGACTGAATAAGTTTTAAAGATGCATTATCTGAATTACACATAATAATTTAATTTTTTAGTTTCACTTTAACATTCCTTAGAAAAATTTATTATAATTTTTTTTACATTTAAAAAAATGTCCTATTTAACAAAGTTTTGAAAGCTATGTGAATTTTCAAAACACCTTATTTTTCATATTTTAAAACTGGTTACAATGTTAATTCACAATATATTCATATATTATAACGTTTCCATAACTGTACTGTTCTATATGCCTGAAGTTGAAACATGTGAGAATAGTTTGATAATAACTTCTTGACAAGTAAAAAATTGTAATGTATAATTTCTATCAGAAAAAAAATGTTTTGAATGAAATTTTTGATTAAAGCCAAATGATTGCCAAATTATTGGGCTATTTTTAGCTGCATTAATAATCAGTTTTACTCAAGGTGGGCAAATATACCACCATCTCATTTTAATTTTAATAATTATAATAAATTAATCTTCAATTTAGAAATTTCTGAGAGAAAAGAATCAGCACAGTGAGACTCAAATCCAAAGCTGCTTACTATGCAGATGCATTGCTGATTATGCTACCTGGACCTCCATATGATCTTTGCTTCCAGAACTATTAATTTAGATATAATCATATGTGTTATACATAATGCTGACTGGGATGTCTTAACCCACAGTCTTGCTTTTTCACCACAATAATGCACCCACTCACACTTCTTTGCATTCAGCCAGCCAATGCTTTACAATATATCCGAACATGAAAATATACATATACCATATTTATATATGTATATGTATCTATATATATAATCGAGATGAGTTGATAATGATAATAATGATGATAATAATAAGTGCAGAGCCAAAACAGTTAGAAGCTGAAAGTTGAAATTTGAAATTTGGTACACAGTTAGGGTACGTCACGAAAACACACACTAAGAAGTGTGTGTTTTCGTAACCCCACTCCCTGGGGGGATCTCGAAAAATCCCCCCAGGGAGACAGGATTAAGGTTCGACAATGGCAGTATTAACAATGGAAGTGTTACGTAACAATGGAATTGTTAAGAGAAAATGACGTGCAAGACGCAGATGCAGTTTTTTTTTGTTTTTGCGGAAAATCGAACATATTTTTAGACCCATCTAAAAATTGTCTAATTAGTCTGGAAACAGGGGGACCCAATTCTTGCATTCTGTGAAAACGGGCAAGGTTGACTATAACATAATAATCTTAATCTTCGCTATCGTTACTTTTATCCAAGCAACGCCGGGCCTACCTGCTAGTATTTTATATATTTATTTTATATTTAGATATATGAATATTTTAATTAAATTACACACAACTGTATAAATATAAAATAGCAACATTTAACAAAAATACTTTGTCTTCATTATTCATCCGTCGTTCGCTCCAGTTGACAGTCCACAATTTCATAAACACGGAGGAAACCTTTCTTTAGAGGCTACTGCCTCCGCAATGAAATGCAAATGGAGCGAATGATGGATGAATAGCAAAAACAAAGTATTTTTGTTAAACATTGCAATTTTATATTTATACAATTGCATGTAATACCATCGGCCATATTTTATATTTATTATTTTTACTTGGAAAGTATATTTTAAATGTTTGGATATATTGTTCATATGTACTGTTGTGATCAAACAGTTTCAAAAAGGCTTGATTTAAACTGCGCATGTGCAAGAAGGCACTATTGTCTTTTTTCATCATTATTTGATACAACTTACAGATTGCTGCTAGATGTCAATGAATGTCAATATTTGTTTTGTTCGCAAATAAATGCTTGTTTTCTATATATAAAGAATTTTTGTGCCAGTAATTTTTCAAAAAGTTGAGTGTAACTGAGCAAAAAACATGCATTTTGTTTTTGCAACATAATTTCTGCTACAAAAACATTGGAAATGTTGCAAAAAGCCTTTGATGATGATAGTCTATCAAAAACAAGAGTTTGAGTGGTACAAGATGTTTGAAAAAAGTGGAGAATCTGTTAAAGATGAACCACTTCAACTGATGAACAACACATTGCTCAAGTCAGATAGTTGTTGCTCAATGATTGTTGTTTAACAATTAACAACATTATTGAACATGTTTCTGTGTCATTTGGATTTAGTCAAGCAATTTTAAAAGATCATTTGGGCTTGCAGTACATCACTTCTCAAGTTGTCCTGAAAACATAGAATTTTTTCCACAATTAATATGTTCAAGTAGCCAAGGAAATGCTTTCTTGATGTGAATCATTTTTGACACAGAACAACTCAATAGTCAAGTGAATGGTGTCTGAGAGGTAAAGCAAGCCAAAAAGACCATGTCAAAGTCTGTCAAAAATCAAGGTCATGTTGACTGTTTTCCTCAATTGTTGTAATGTACAACACAAATGCCCTCTGACTGGTCAAACTATCAACAAAATATATTGTTTGAGCATTTTTCATCATTTGGGTAAAGCAAAATTGTAGAAAATGACCTGATTTGTGGCAAGAAAACTCATGGCTTTTTCACCACAATAATGCACCTGCTCACAATGCTCTTTTGTTTGTGATTTTTGGGCAAAAATTCGACAAATACAGTTCTGAAAGCTTATATATATATATGGCCAAATGATCACCTTAAATACTCAATCTATAAATCTGTTAATTTTAATAATTATAATAAATTAATCTTCAATTTAGAAATTTCTGAGAGAAAAGAATTGGACTAGAGCAGGAGTTAAATCTGCAACTTCTATTTACTATGCAGATGCATTGCTGATTATGCTACCTGGACCTCCATATGATCTTTGCTTCCAGAACTATTAATTTAGATATAATCATATGTGTTATACATAATGCTGACTGGTATGTCTTAACCCACAGTCTTGCTTTTTCACCACAATAATGCACCCACTCACACTTCTTTGCATTCAGCCAGCCAATGCTNTATTAAAATTAGTGGATTTATAGCCCTAGTATTTAAGGAGATTGTTTCGCTCCATATTTACCTGATAAGGCACCTTGTAACTTTTCCTGTTTCCTTGACTAAAATTTTTTCTTTGTGGTCACAGTTTTAAGTTGATTGATGCCATAAAACAAAATTCACTGCAAATCTTAAAGGGGTTTCACAAAAATGACTTTAAAGCAAGTTTCAAGAATTGGAAAAAACTGGCATAAGTGCATTGCAGTGAGAGGAGATTACTTTAAAGAAAGGGATGAAATAAATTTTGATGAATAAATTCAAATCTTGCATTTTATTAAATCATTCCCAATACTTTTTGATCACAGGGGTATCTTACACTTATAATAATTATCAATTAATAATTATCTACGCACACACANTTTTAAAAATGATAAAAATTTTGTAAATTTATCATTAAAGTTGTAAAAAATCCAACATGTTTCCTTAAAAAAATGAGAAAAATTCGACAGATATTTATTTATTTATATCTTATCCTGTATATTATTTAAATTTTATAAAGAAATTCAACAAGTCATACATTTACAATCGATAAAACCTGGTCGATATGTTATACACCGAATTAAGGCAATGATGCATTTTATAGCGAGGTAAATCAATTTTGAAACTGCACAACAGAAAAACCCACACTTCTTAGAAATTATCTATAATATTTTTATGAGAATCGCTTAAAGTATTGTATCACAGTAACGGTTGCAATTTTCTTTATAGGAATTTTTCTCTGCAACATTGTGTGTGTTGGCCACAGCTACATCATCTAACTGATTACTGTATAAAACAAATATAGGATTTTTATATAAATAAACTGGGTTATATACTCAATATTCAAACTTTCTGAAAAATTAATGATTATAAAATACACTTTAATGTCTTAAAAATTTTAAGTAGATGATGATCAATGTAAGGAGATAGAGGGCTTAAGCTGTATGTCAATCTTGACATTCCCAAAGGGTATAAAGTACAACTTTTATGCCTAAGAGCTAATTAAACAGGAATTTTTGCATAGAATTTAAGCTTAGACGTGTTTGATGGATTACCTCACAAACTCCTAATAAATTAGGCCCACTAAAATAAAGAATATTACCAACGTCAAACAATAGACAACCCTATTATTTATGAATCTTTAGATAATTCTAGTGAAAACGAGTAGATTAAACCCTTCTCAGATTCTAGCTTATGTAATTTAATGGATGTGCTAAGAAAACAAGCGGTTAAATTTATAATTAGAAAGTTTAGAGGTATCGTTGGCCATTCAAATTAAAAGAGGCCTTCTAATTATCAAATTTTCCCGGTTAATATATTCAAAAATGAACATCATCTGCATTTAATCACAATACACAATTCTTTAGATCCTAGATCTAAATCTATAAGCGCCTGTGTGATTTAACTATTCACAAATTATTTATTAATGCAAATAATTTATTAAATTCCTTTATCGCCTCAAGATCTCAATAATATTGATTACATCTTTTTCATGGTCAAGATCACTATTATTATTATTATTATACTATAGACTGATACTCACGCCAAATATTGTATAGTATGACAGTTCACTGAGTTCGACGTTATAAGTGCTTTTTATCACAAGTACTTTCAGCAAATTTATAATCGTCGTTGTCAGACAAATAAAGATTTTTTTAAAATTGAACAGAAATATTCTAAGAAAGAAGAACAGAATGAATATTATTCATATTAAAAATTTGATAAAACCATTAAGAACAAGCCACTAATTTTCAAATGTGTTCAAAGTTGTGCAAGCAATGTGATATGTATGTTGTGAAGCAGCACATGCATGGATGTAGGCCCATGTTAGCAATGTGACAGTGGATGAGAATCATTGTTTAACTGCTTATACAGCATGACCCATACATTGGGCAGGTTGAGAGTGGGAGTGTTGCATGCATCTGAGGTTGCTGTGAATAGGAACTCCCATATAAAGATGAGTTTTCAATTTTTGCAGCACTTGAGCATTGTTGCTTGGGTCCAAAGTGGGTTGTAACCCTGCTATGGACCTATGCTATACTGCTGGAGAATCTCACAATGGGAATAAATATAAAGTACATGAGGCCACAACAAGAATGCTTGCTAGCCACTTAGCAGAACACCAAGATGATATAGTGAGGGAAGGCATACCACAGAACTTATATAAAAGGTGTTCAAGCAAGTTTACAATCCACTATGGACCCAAGCAACAATGCTCAAGTGCTGCAAAAATTGAAAACTCATCTTTATATGGGAGTTCCTGCTCACAGCAACCTCAGATGCATGCAACACTCCCACTCTCAACCTGCCTAATGTATGGGTCATGCTGTATAAGCAATTAAACAACGATTCTCATCCACCGTCACATTGCTAACATGGGCCTACATCCATGCATGCGCTGCTTCACAATGTATGTATCACATTGCTTGCATGACTTTGAACATGTTTGAAAATTAGTGGCTTGTTTTTAATGGTTTTATCAAATGTTTTAATTTGAATAATATGCATTCTGTTCTTCTTCCTCAGAATATTTCTGTTTGCTCATTTTAAAAATCTTTATTTGCCTGACGACAATAATTATAAATTCATTGAAAGTACTTGCAATAAAAAGCACTTATAATGCCGAACTCTAATAGTAGGATGGAGAGATCACTATTATTATTATTATTATTTGCTCCTCTTTGTTTAAACTTATTTACCTTGTTTATATAACACTTAGTATAATAATGCAATTTCTAGATTATATTACTTAATAAATCCTTTCTAATATACTCCAGTTAATATTATTAACTTAAATGTTAATGTTTATTTATATACAGCTAGTGCTAAACATGATTGAAACGTTGCAACGACTAGTGTTTATGTAAGCTTATCAACGCTTTACGCTGGTCAAATTTAAACGTAATTAATCCTTATAATTAAATAACTGTTTTCTTTTTTTTTACTGTATACGTACCTGATGTTAAGTAAGTCCAATATAGTTGGTGACAGCTACTGTACCTAACACCGGTACTTCTGATAGTGTCTGCACCTCTCCAGCATGCACATGAACGTGCACTGACCTTGTCGAATGGTGGAGCCACCGTACTTTCCTCACCTCTACAGGTGGGCGTCCGGGATCGAGTTTCCTCCGCTTGCTATTGGATTATCTTTCAACCCACGTGTTCGTATGATGGATAGAATTATAAATATTTTAAAGTGTAAATTTGCATATTACTCTAAGTTGATTTTTATTTATTATTATTTTCTCTTTAATTTCTAATATGTAAAGTTAACATTAATTACACTAATTAATTTTCTTAGTTTGTCATAACGAATTTTAATCTGTTACTTTTTAAACTTTATTATAAAAATTATATTTATTATATACAACGAATGTTTAGAATTATTATAGAAATATTATAAATGTTCATTTTTTTTAGAATATATTATTTTAAATTTACTTATAAATTAAGTGTATTATTAAGGTATGGATTATAAAAATACATCGATGAATAGACTAGATTAAATGAAAAGTGTATGAAAATTTTGAAGTGTAGATCTACAGATATCCTCATCATGAAACATGGATCTCTTTACCCATAATTCAAGCTTTTTTTTCTCTATGGAATGCTTCATACTGTCAAACAAATATCCGTAAATTCGGATGGCAATAGTAAACAGTGATGCAGCATTGCCTCTCAAAGCCAGACAGTATCCAGGGAGGGGTAAAGTATGGCAATGCTTCTTCCCCGAGCTTTTAAAGNAATGTAATTAATTTGAATATTGAAATTGAATTAAGCAAAATGAAAAGATTTTTTTTTACCTTGATACAAAAGGATCTTTTACCAATTTTGCATCTAATGTGACACCAGGCTGATACCCATAACATAACCCATTGGTAAAGGCACAATAAAGTGGTGATCCAAATCCAGCTTTATAAACAAGATGCATATTTTTTACTTCAGCACCACGATCAATAAATAATTCTGTTTTCTGGCCATAAACACGAACCAAAACAATGTCATCTGGTTGATCTTCTAAATAACAGCCCAATAGATGATTTGTAATTCCATCTGTAAAAATCTATAAAAGTGATTTTTCAGAATATGCAACAAAAAAGAAAATATACTTAAAATTATGCTATAAAAATTATTAAAAAATTTAGACAACAGCAATTTTTTATCTATTTTTGAATATAATTTATTGTAATTTTTTTATATTCATATCCATTCAATAATATTCATTCAAAAAACTTAATAAAACTTTAAAAAATAAAGGTAATTTTGAAATATTCAAAAGTTACATTACTTTAAAAAGCAACTTCTTAAATTCTATCCTTTAGAGCTAAAAATATTCTTATTAAAATAACAATTCTGAATATTTTCAATAATTCATTTTCATGTTGTTGTTTTAATGCAGAAAAATGTTTAAATATTGAACATTAAAAATTAATTAATCAAGAACAGTTCAAGCACAAATATTCCTGACTATGTTAATGTTAACTGTAAATTAGAATCATTTCATATTTCAAATAAAAGCCAGCTTATTTCATATTAACTTAACTTTCTATTAAAAATTTTTTACACATTTCAGTTTCTAAAAAGAACTTTGATGAGAGAAGTAATTAGCATTGAAATATATTTTAAGAGAAAATAAATATATAATTTTAATATAGAGTATATTTTCAAAATACAAATAACTTTTTCCAATATTAAATTAAAAAGTTTTATTATTGAAAAAATTATATGTACTTTAGAAATACAGCTTGTCTGAGAAAGATCTTTATCATTCTAAATATTAATAACAAAAATACTAACATAAAATGAAATGCAGTTTGCTGCAAAAGAATGAAGAAATCTAACAGTTTTTTTACAGTACCTCCAATGTAGCTGTATGTGAGCTCCGTTAGTAGCACGAACAATGTCGAGTCTGTACTTGATTTCCCTCCAAGTGTTTTTTAACATTTGTGGTGTAACAGTGAGGATTGCTAATCATATCCTTTCCTTTAAAACAGATATATCAGAAACAGGTGTTTGATAAACCCTGTCTTTAACATAACTCCACTGGATTTCTTTTTTTGGGGTTATGTTGGGCGATCGCAGAGGCCAAGGTATGGGTTCTCCATGACCAATCCATCATTCGGGAAACACTATTAATAGGCAATTGATACCAGAAAAAACTCTTAGATTTCTTCATTCTTTTGCAGCAAACTGCATTTCATTTCACCTGTTAGTATTTTTGTTATTAATGTTTAGAATGATAAAGATCTTTCTTGGATACACTATATGGTATTTATTGTCTGTCTCATAACATATATTATGTGAATATAATGGAAACAAAGCACAAGTATTGTTAAACTTTTTACCATTTATTCAAATAATTTGTTCTCCCTTCTTCAGTGAATTAATAATAATAATAAAACTATATGAAATTCTAAATTATAATTTAATAATTTTTATTACAACAGATCCTAAATAGGGATATATATTATGAAAGAAACAAATATAGCAAAACAAATTAATGCAATTTATTGAATTCAAGCAAAATCAATACAATCCATGATAGAGAAATGAGGAATCTATAGAAATTACCTCTGTATATTCTCTTGTTACTAGGTTAGAAACAGGTCAGAAATATATTTAGACCAATATCATTTTTTTAATTTGTTGATTTTTACCAATTTTTGAAATAAAAATTAGATAATCAATAAATACAAATAATTAAAATTACTGATAAATACAACATAATTTGAATTCCTGATTAATTGTATTGTATAATCAATGTTTTAAGAAATTATCTTATATTAAGTTCATTTAAAATAAATTATTATTATTAAATAATAAAATCTTAGAAATTTTTTCAAGTAACCTCTCTCTCAAAATTTTAGTTTTGTCTTTCATTTCAATGTTAGAATACTTCATTTCGATTTTAATATAGAGTATATTTTGTAGCACGAACAATGTCAAGTCTGTACTCAATTTCCCTCCAAGTGTTTCTTAACATTTGCGGTGTAAACATGAAATGATTCTAATTTACAGTTAACATTAACATAGTCAGGAATATTTGTGCTTGAACTGTTCTTGATTAATTTTTAATGTTCAATATTTAACAAAAAAATGAAGTATGTGTTATTAAAAATAATTCAGCTAATAATTGAAAAATGAATTTTAAGATCAAAATATATATAAGATTTCAACAATTAAAAGAATTCTAGTTATGAGAAATAAATGTTAGTTTGAAGAGAATAGCATTGATGCTCTCTTAATTATGTTCAAATAAATTCTGAAAATTTATTATAACATAAACAACATTTGTAATAATCTACAGCAAGGGATTCCCAACCTAGTTATTAGTGGGATTGATTAGTGAGAACCTCAAGGGATTGATCAATTTATCTAGAAGTCAATAAATATATCAATAATAAAATTACAAAATCTAATTTTATTACAGTATATTTAAAAATATAATTATAATTTATGTTAAAATTTTAGTAAAAATAATGAAATGATAACAGTAATATTCAGCAAATAATATAATTTACTAAATAATAATAAAAGGAGCACCATTATTCTATCCAAAAGGGCCTGTTGACATTTGCAACCAAAAATGATGTACAAGTACTTCTCAATGAACCAAGCTTAATATATCCAATTAGGAACTGAATCAATCTGAAACAACTAGCAAAACTCAAAATTTACAAAGCTATTTTCTGAAACACCACAATAAATTACAGAGAAGCAGAGACATTCTCTAAAGCATGAAAGTTCATTTTTGAAGTACACCTATAATTTTAAAGCTTTATCTTTAAAAAATATCTCAATATGTCATTGCTGAGATTGTGCTTTCCACCAATGAAATAATTATCCCATTTTGTTCAAAGTAATGTTCAAATTTTCAAATACATGTTCAACTGTTTTTTAACTTAATGATGATGATTTAAAAATTGTTGAAAACATTTGTTTTTTGTTATTATTTAATAAAGTACTGTATATTATTTGTGAAATATTATGGGTAGTGTTTCCTTATTTATACTTAATTAAATCCAGTTTTCATATATTGCATAGTTGTTGAAAATTTACTAAAGTAAAACACACAATTTTAACATTTGATTTATGTTTAAAAAAAAAATTGAATTATCAATTTCTCTTTAATTAATATTTATAATTTATTATTATTATTATTATTATTATTATCAATACAGAAAGAGTCAGCAAATGAAATATAATCTTGGAGAGTCACAATAAGCAAAACAAAGGTTGGAAAGCCCCATTGTAAATTATATAACTTATTTTTTTACAAACTGTATTTATAAAGACAAACTAATTATTCATATTTCAATCTTTTAAGTTCAATATTCAATAATCATTATTTACACTTATATTAACATTTGTTTATGAGATATTTAGAAATTATACTCTTAACTATAAGAAAAATAGTACTAAAGTACAAAAGCAATCATGGTTAAAACATGGTATAAGTTTTGTAATACTTATAATAATTATGTAACAATGGATCAAGAAAATTTCTTGAAACAATATGTATGTTATAGGCAAAGCTAAGTCTTCAAATAGATTTTAACTAATCATCAATGTATGAAAAGACACACCAAGTTTACTGGATAAAAAACTAATGAACATATTTCAAAAACAAGATGGATTAGCCAAGTGCTACTCAAACTGGTTTGTGGACCAGTGCTGGTCTGAAGTTTATCAGTGACTCATTATAAAACTGTGTCTTTAAAAATCAACTGGCATGGAAAATTACTTGAAAAATGGCCCATAAATCTTTTTCAAAATGATAACAAAAGTGTAATGACAAAATTGATTATAACTATTTCAGTCTAAAAATTAAAATAAAAAATAAATTTAAACTCTATTCTCTCCATTTTATAATTATTTTTATTTAATTTCACAAAAATACTGGTTGCATGAGGGATTGAAATGTAAAAAAATTGATCAAGGAATACAAAGTTTCTAAAGCATTGATTTAGACCACTTTCTATGGCAATTAAGCCTATGTCTTCAGGCAAGTAGTTGATTATAGAGAAGAAAAATTAACAATAGTCATAAATTGAATCTAGATTTGCATAGAGACAGATCTAAATCATAGATTAAATCTAAACTTTGTTTTTGTAATTTGCTGATTTAATATAATTACAGTCGAATCTGCATAAGTCAACATCCCAAAGGGAAATGGAAATGTGTCAAGATATCCAATATGACGACTAAAACAAAGTTGAAAAAAAACCCACAAAACTACAATTAGGAAAATACAGTAGTGCTTTATACAGTATATGCAATGTATCTCTCTGACTATCCATCACTGGAACTAAAGTTGGTCTCTACTCCAAGTCTACCTCAGTGATTTCCATCGCTTTTTGTTTCAGTATTGGCCCTGAAATAGGAAGATTTGATGAATGAATTTGCTTTGCCAACATACCAGAGCATCTTCGACATCTTTGTACGGCAACTTTCTCTGGTGTTTGAGACAGCCACAAGAAAAAGTTTCTTAATTTCCTCATTTTTCTTCAGAATTCCCACCAATATTGTTCTTGGAAGGTTTTCTTGTTTTGCAAATTCAGCTTGTGAAGTTTTATTACATTCAAATTCAGATACAAGTTTGTATTTTTCCTTCAGTGTAAGCATTGTTAGGTTTCAGATACTCTTTTCTAACATAAATGTAAAACACTTGCTGCAAATAATACATGAATGAAAGATGAGAAAATGGAAAATTGGATTCTGCTGCGACGTTAAGCGGTGTGAACTTATTTTTTTCAGGAGGAGAGTCGAATTATCAGATGTCCGAAAGAGTGTGGGTCAGAAAAAGTATGTCAATTTATGAGTTAAACGGTGTCAAGTAAACCAGAGTTTTTTTTAACATTAATTAATGCCTATGTAAGTGGGACTACAGAAAACTGACTTCTTAACCGATGGTGTCTAGTTATACTTATGCAAATTCGACTGTAGTTCTAAATGTTGACTTGTGGTCTTTCTATTGATACCACTTTAAATGAAAGTAAAATAATATAAGATTTTTCAGATGAAACAATACTTCATTTAAAAAATATAAATATACAAAGAATA